TAGAGACAAACGTACAAGTGTGTATAAATAAGTTGGTGAAGCACCAAACACAATGAGATTAATATACCAATAATGAGGTAAAAACAAAAATAAAGCATCGTAGGATACCCTGTATCTGCACTATTTGATTTCGGATTATTCTGATGAAGATCTCATAGATAAGAGACGGCATTGTGATGGGTCTCTAATTATGAAAGCTCGGGAAATCGCCTTTTACATTGGCTGAATCGGCCTTGAAATCTTCCACGCTGCAGGAATCCTTACCTCACTACAGTATCTTATGAAACGTTCTGCCAGCGCTTCGAGATGGGCAATCCGTCTACTTTTAAGTGTTCTGAACGAATTTTGTCGCGACCCGGGCTTTTCCTTGCCTTGATCTGTCTTACTGCATTTTCTGCCTCTTCCCACATGACACCTGAACTTGATTCTCCTGTAGCAATTTGATTAGCTCTTGCAACAACCACCTTTGAAGAGTACAAGTAGAATTTAAATTTTCGCACATATTTCATTCATCCCTAGGTGGTTAGTTGTCCTCACTCCTCTTTCGTTCACTACACCTGGAATGTTATGCTCACGTGTTATGCTCACTATAGCTGGATTTTCAGTTGTGAATTAAGTACAGACGCAATCAGTTTTTGAGTGAGATTAACAGTATGGGGAGCAGCAGAACGCCATAAATGTCAGATCGCATCTCATATTGATTATTCAGGATCCATCTGAGCCCAATAGGCCTTGGAATTCGCATATAGTAATAGACAGTGAGGGCACAACAAAAGCGTTGTATAACAAGCTGCACCTCTTCGATCTGGAAATCCCAGGCAAAGTAAGACTAATGGAAAGTGAATTCAGCAAGAGTGGAACTAAGGTAAGTGGATCACTACTACAACACCACTTCACACTCAGAGTACATTTCACTTCTTTACTTTATTCAGATGTTGAGAAAATAAAACTTCCATTCTAATAGAGCTGGTTTTCAGATGGTCTCTCCCGTAGATACGCCCATTGGACGACTCGGCTTATCCATTTGCTATGATCTACGATTTTCTGAATTAGCTCTCTGGAATCGTACGAAAGGTGCAGAGATTCTTTCCTATCCGTCTTCCTTTACACTCAACACTGGTTTGGCTCACTGGGAGGTGAGAGCTTGCTCGCTTATGGAAATATTGTCTCATAAGCTTATAGCAATATAGCCTGGGAATATATAAATATGACTAGAGTTATGAAGTGAAAACGCTCATGCACAATAGTCCACCAATGGCGATAATCAAAAAGCGCAGGAAATTCGTGAAGTTTCGTTCTCCTTGAATTTCCCGGCTTTCAGCATGTGCTTTGTCATTCCTACGGAGGAGAATGTCTCGAAAAGCTTCCTTTTGCTGTTGAGCAAGTTGTTAATTTCGTAAGATGTTCCTGGGTACACGATTTGAGCAAAAGTAGCTACCCAGCTGCACCGAATTAACAGGCCTTTTGACGCGTTCATGGATGGAATTGCTTGGCTGGAGGTAGATTTTTCAACTGATCTTCAACCTTATTGCGCCCTTTCTAAGTCAGCCATGATGAGGCTGAAGTTTCGTCGCAATAGAGAATCTACTAAAGTAGTCTCGGTTCTTGATTCTTGAAATTGAAATAGATGGAAGGGAGATTCTTCGCAAGCCTAAGCTGCTCTAAAACGATCCTGTATACCATGTGCTCTGTACTCGAGTATGTTGGCACCACATAATCTCTGCAAAAGTCATAATCTGCTCATGGTTAACGTGGGATGAGTTTTCGCTTGATTCAGTCCTGCTGCAGAAGTTAGATTATTCGTGCGAAGCTCACCATCCATTGAATTAATTTCAGCCTCTTCTTCGAACTCGTGCAATCGAGACGCAATGCTATGTGGTGGCAGCTGCACAGACTGGGAAGCACAATGAGAAGCGTATATCTTACGGTCACTCGATGGTAGTTGATCCCTGGGGAGCTATAATAGCTCAGTGCTCAGAGAGAATTGGTCAGTGATTGGTGTGAATTGGCCCGTTGCTTCCGAAACGAACATTTATTGCTTAGCATACGTTCCACTGAACATCAGTTTTTAGATATGTGCTTTGCCGAAATCGACCTTTCCTACGTCGCTGAACTTCGGAAGATGCAACCAGTTTTCGCTCATCGACGATCTGATCTTTACATGTTGCATGCAAACGAAGAAGATAGCGGTTTGCTTCCACGAATTTCTTTCCTAGGGAGTATTTATTGCCAAGAATACCATGACCCTGTGCAACAGTTCCATATTATTTGTCGAAGTTCTACTATTAAGACAGTCAAGAACTCAGGCGCCTATATTAGTTGGCGCATCCTATTGTGTTTAATAGCAAATGTCATGCTCCGAGAGGTTCTCATTCAATCCTCCGGGGGTCGATCAATTAACACTAAACTAGTTTAAGAGGATAAAAGTATTGGAATGTACAGCGGCTGCCCACCCAGGTCACGTATTGATATAAGTCACTACGATTCCAATTTTGTGTCAAATGTGCGGCTTTTTTGCAGCACGAAATTGATCAGTACGAGATTGTTTTTAAAGCTTCATGCAGTAAGCAGATAGCTAGGTAGGGTGGTTGCAACCCAAGCTACGAAAGGAATTTCCCCTCTAAAAGGTATAGACAGACTGCGCCTGCTTGTGGGCACTTTTTAAGCTNTGAGTATCAGTGATCGAAAAAGATTTCCCTTAGATGAATGCCTTTATAATATCATCTTCTCCAGTTCACTCCAGACAGAGGGAAGACTCTATTTATTAGCAGTCTGAATAAGGAATACAAAAACGTATTCGAATTTTCCCTTTCAACGTCGACCGTTGGCCACTACCTATACAACCGCAACTGCGCAGAGCTAGAAGTCTGATCATCGTTCTAATCCATGATCTTCCATGACCCGGGTGTGGTGCAGTAGTAACGAAATTGTCGCGTCGCGACGAGAGAGGAGGAATGTAGCAGAATGCTGCAGCAAGTAAGAAGTACACGAACAAAAGAACTAACAGTAGGACCGTGCCAAAAGTAATAATCGCATAGCTATGGAGCTGTATGAAGGAAGCTAGAACTGTTATAACGGGGCAAAGGTCCGCGGCAGCCGCGTGCGGCGGATCGATTACACAAAGTTGTTCGTACTGCCCGTCTCCCCCATAACCCATTGTTTGAAATCTGAGTTCGTTCACATACTATGAGCAATCTTCGATTCTTAGAAGAGGAAGGTTGTCTTGGGCAATGCAGTCAGACTGTTCGTGCGATTAATATCACTGATCGGCGTTTGCTCATCATTACTCAATCTGAACCCTGTCGAGCAACCTCGATTAGCGAACGGTACCACCTGACATTTCTAGTAGGGGAAGCCTGGTGCCTAATTATGGATTCCAACAGCTCTTTTTTTGCTGAACTTCGGATTTAGATTTCAGCCCGGATTTCATGGTTCTATACAGAGCACCACAGAAGTATTGCAGGTATTCTTCGCCTATCATGGGCGTAGGCATAGTGAGGACCAGTGACGAAGAACGTGAGATTCAATGATCGGAAACAGTTCGGGGTAGTTCGGTTAAGCTAAAACCGATTCCTTCCTCCCCAAGAACCGCCAAGCCAGCCAGGCCACGTTCGAGCAAAATTTTACCGTTTGGAAGAGAAGATAATTCACTTTTTTTGCCTGGCTGGCATCCTCTTGATGTTGGCAGAGCAAGGAGGGAAGGAAAGGTTCAAGGAGGATGCTTGAAAGCAAACCAGGCAACTAAGATAATCCTCGTTCGTAAAGTGTTCCTTGTAATGTTGCCTGAACGAGTGTATTGATAACGTTGATCCCCTGCTTTGTAATGCGTAGTCGCCATCAATCTNGATTTATAAAAGTATATGAACGCGTATTTGGCAAGCAGTGTTGTATAGGTCTGGTAAAGCAAACTTTAGCACTTTCTTAGAATTGTAACTTCTACGTATGATTCAAAAGAATTGAGGCCTAGTTAAGTTCCCATGGATTCGGTCCACCGATTGTTCATTAGGTAGCGGTAACAAAAACTGTTGCTCCTCTACCTCTTCTTGGTTGCACTACCTAAGCAAAGCCGTTTGAGTTTTCGAAAAATGTTCGCATAAAATAGGGTTAGGAATCTACGGTCAGGCCAGCATGCCTTTCAGGGAACTCCAAGTCTTGAGTAGCTTTCTCATTATTCATGTACTTGAGAGTTTGTATTTACTGGAATATTCTTTAACTGTAGTCTGAATAGTCTTGCTAGGAACGAGACCTCACTCATCATGGTGTTGTACTAGCTCGAACGTAATTTCCATAATAAAGACTTCAGAAAACTCATCGCTGATGTTTGCTGAGTTTCCGATTGCGGCTGAGTCAATATTCTACAAATCAGCTCATTCTTTCGCATTCGTCAACTTGAAACCAGTGTTGAATGGACGTCAGTGGCTAAACTTATGGGAGACTGCTTTTCTTTTGCCTCACAATTACGTTACGTGGATTACGTCTTTTTTTATGTCAAAGGATATTCTTGCAGATGTGCTAGTCTGCCCCAAGCGTGTATGCTACCATCTCACAGATCTTACCGATGCTGAGACTGCTGATTTGTTTATTGTTGCAAAGAAAGTCCAAAGAATGATTGAGAAGGTAGGTTTTTCAGCTTGACCTTTCTTATGGCTCATCGCTTCGGGAAGAGAATTTTCACAGCAACCCCTTGAAAATTTCGAACACGATTTCTTGTTGAGTAGTTTAGTATTGGTATCCCTTTCCACGACAAAAGCGAGGCCTTTCATGAGGTATTTCTTACAACATCACTGCGTCGTAGAGAGTTACTGTGTGAATGAGTTGCCCAACGCCCACGGTGAAATCTCGGTGGACACCAGTGGGATTCATCGAAACTATGTCCCCGAGCACTGTATCCTCATGCTTTCTTGATTTTCGTTCGGCTTGACGAGTTCGAGTTCGTAGGACAGCCACAGTACTGACCGTTGCCAGCATTCGTATTGTTTGTGCTTATGCTTCACTTCTAAAATTATTACTTTCAGTTCCACAACGTCACCTCATCGACGCTTTGCGTTCAAGATGGGAAAGATGCAGGACAGACTGTCAAGGTTCGAAATCGATGTGGTAACTGGTACCAGACTCGTATGGGAGACTGAAAGCACTGACTTGTACATCGGCTGACCACCCGCAAGTCATTGTATAGGTCACATACGCACTCATGACGCCACTACGATTTTGAATGGAAATCGAATGCGTGGGCGCATCCCTCAGGCGAGATTGATTAGCGCCAAAACACTTTGTCCTCAACCCTTTTGTTGATCAAAATCGTCGGTTGTTGCCACGCGCGCGTTAATGTGCAATAGCTAAACTGTTGTTTTGACTTGCTGACCAGAGACGATATTTAGTTAAAGTCATCAAGTAAATCTTTTTAGCATGTACATGTGCACATACTTGCTCGACGAGAAGGCGATTTTGGAGGTTCTCCAGATAACCTATATAGCAGTCTAGCTACACATGATAGGTATGTCCATTGAAAGGTATAGATCGCAAAGATATTAGATGGTTCATTTGTTTTAAGAAGAGCTTGGTCGATGCTGGGTACTTTGTCACAGAAAGCCAAAAGCGCAACAAAATGAAAAACAGAGCGTTCTTTAGTCCACTACTTTCGAGCACTTATTTTTGTTGCCCCGCGCTTTCCCATGAGGCAAGGTTCGCAGTGTTCCATGAGGCGAATGAGCTTCATCCGAGTTAATTAAATAACCTTCTTCGTACCGGTCTCAGTCGTCCCTCACTGCTCAGCCTTCCAAACATGAATCTCTTTCTCTGAGCATGAATTCTGATGCACCGTGTTACGCTCAACTGTGCGAACATCTCTGAATCTTCACTTACATCTATTTATGCCGAACAATCAACCTGATGAGTAACGGAAATGAGAAAGCACCAGAGAGCGTTGAGGGAGTAGGAAAGGTATCAAAGGTATCCCGTTTCGCGTTCAACTTCGTGGCACCGTGGGCCCTCCCTTGACCTCTGACTCGGAGACTTGGACTACACGGGATCAGGATGAGCGTGCGGTGAGCATCGATGCCCGGAATTTCCTGATACAAGCAAGTCCAAATGGGGTCTGGAGTTCCGAGCTGCGTGAACGAACGAACAGAACGAGTGTTAATGTGTACGTAAAGGAGTCGAAAGTCAGGTGGGCCAGGCACATTTTGCCATGACAATTGTACCACAGTGCTTAGTGACTGAATCCATCGGGACGTCAAAAGAACACAATGCAGGCCACTAGCCTAATCCCACACTTCTTCGCAAAAGCTTTGAACGAAAGAAATGCGCGATGTAGGTGATATGACAAATGTTTTTGGTTTTCCAAATTTGTCTTCGCCAGTAGTGAAGTTGGGACCATTTGCTCAAAAGTTGATGCTCAGTATCGAGACTCGATCGGACAGCATTGTGTGTTGAAGGCTGTCCCTCTGAGGCTTAGCATTGTGATGGCCGTATAGTGCAGCTCTTTGGGTGCCGGAAATTCTCACCGAATTCCCATGACAAGCGGCAAATGTCACACGGCTTCTACCCTATCCTCGCACTGGGAATCCAAACCTTTCCCTTCAAAGCGCGCGACTGTGCGCGATCGCGATTGGATGCGGCGAACGCGACGCCGTTTCCGGGAAGAAGATACCAGACCCCAGCTCTTTTAGGGAATTATGCATAGTGGGATAGGTAATCATGGAATGTTTTAAGCAATCGCGAATAAGCTTTGTTCAAGAATTCTCCGGGTTGGTTCTCTAGAATGAGGGATTATAATGTTTCCTAAAAAGCGTAATTACTATTGGCTCATTTACTTTACTCACAATTAAAAAAAGTCAATATTGCGAGTGAACCATATAATTTTTTCACAGGGATTCGAATGTCCGATCTCGAACTCAGGATGAAATGAGTGCTGAGGCGTCGTTATACAGAGAGGCCATGAAGCACATTTGATACTAAAGCTGCATCGACCTCATCTCATACCTGATTCTTTTTTGAGCCTTATCTCTTGCTATAGTTTCGTTGTCGGTTTGAAACGTTCAAAGACTGTGATTGTAGAAACGACCGATGGAATAAAAATTTTCTCGCGGTCATTCCTTTGTAATCCATCATACATACTCAATACGCCTTCCGAATGTCCTGTTATACCCACAAAATGAATATTTACGTCCATTTTACGATTCCTTTCTTGCAGTCGTCATGGCCAACATTACCTTAAACTCGGTTAATGAAATCATTTCGATGTTTGCGCAGAAGAACCAGAAACATCCGATAAACCAGTTGTAAAACGTTGGTTGTTTTGAATCAAAAGTACTGATGACGACGGTAGTAACGCCTTGAGTTCTTGTTTAGAACATCAACTTTTGTTGCGGATCAGACACTGAATGTCATTGGAAAACAGTCTGGCGACTCAGCTCGGCTGGCGGTCATCAATGATAACTGCACCCACTGCCAGATCGATACTGCTGGTGGCCGTTTTGCTTTCAGCTGTTTTCTCCGTGCTTTGCTTTTTTTTCGTAACCGGACACCTGCCCACGTAGATTCTGCCCTTTTATGAAGCAGTCGACATGGTTTTTTGCAGATCATTTTCTTTCCATATTCACGAATTGATTATGTTTTCTTCTTAGGAACAACGTTTCTCTGCATACTTTCACACTTTCATCAAATCTCTCTTACGGTTTCATGAGCAATAAGAGTGATGGGGATTCTTTCATATGCAAGATCCCGTCGATTGGACACCTGGTGTACTTTGCGTTGTTGGTTGTAATTGAAGCGTATACTAGAACTAGCGGCTTCCACATTTTGGTATTTGCTCAACGACGTGCTCATCCCATTTAGTTTGACGGCACAGTTCACGATAATTTTGTGTTTTCTGATTTTAGACGAGTAATGGAACTTCGAATTCAGAATAGTGCGAGTGTGGCGAAGAAAACGCGAAAACAGGCCTGTTAAGAGTAATATAAGGCTTCAAAAAAGAAGTAAAACTAGCGGTTTTACAAGAATGTTACCAAATAAGAGAGTGTGGTGCTATTCACGCGTCAATATAATGAGGTCATCAGACGAAACGCGCTAAAACATCATGCCTACCATCATAACGGAAGAAATAAGAACTTATAAATAGAATAAGTAAAGAAGAGACCAACTATGCACGTTTACAGAAGGACTGCGTTTACTAGGATCAAAAAATTTGAAGTTATTCTTATTTTGAACGTTTGACAAGTAAATTGTTGCCCTATGAGGTGAATTCTCAATCTCAAAGGGGCTTTTTTGCCATAGTAAAGAGATTTGCTCTAATTCATGGTGAAGCCGTGGACTGCTGCAAATTTATTTGGTCCATCTCAACAGAAAGGTACTGAAACGATGCTGCGTGCGCGAAGAGCTCTAATGGGGTCACGCGTGAATCGCCCTCTCCCCCCCCCCCCCCCCCCCCNCTAGCTGTTCAAACCCGCGCTATTGCATACAGCTGGCTGCTATACGCTGCCTGCATCAGAGTGTAGTTCCCGGTGTTAATGGTGCAACCTCTACAGCTTTGACAACGCTTATTAACTCGTCTTTTTGGGTGTATACGTCAGTTAACCCGGCGGTTTTTGGGCCCTTATTACGCCCTAATGCGCCCTATCATGACTGTTTTCCGATCTGACAGTGTCTCCCAGGCTCACTTTGGAAGTCACAGGTTCATCCTAAGGAGGAATCTTAGGAACCAACCTATGCACTGTGTCCTAAATGCGTGCAAGACACACCTACAAAATATAACTGTATCATTACCATTAATTTTACAAACACATTATTTTCAATGTGATCAAATGAAGCTGATACCATTGTAAAAAAAGAATTGGTCATAACTAGTTCCGAAGACTACAACTACTTTTCCTGAATACGTACCCTTGATACACCTTTACCGGTGACAGACAACAGCTGCCATCTGTATTCGTCCTTTCTTACGTTTTTACATTTTTTAAAAATTGTTTTGGACAAAATCTGCTTTCATTAGGCTCGCCGCTAGCTCAAGGGAGCTTAGTTTTTCGCAGAGAAGATTTTTTTCTGAAGTGGATTTAGAATGCGTGCCTTTTTCTTTCTACTTGCTCTCTTCTCATTCATCCCGAGCACTTTTTTACTGCACTATTTGCACTGAGTCAAATTATTGAACTCGCTTCTTTTAAGTTACTTTGAGAAAGCCTCCTACGATGAAAGAAAGCCTCTATGTGAACAACCTCGAAACTATTCAGTAGGAGGTAGTGTCTGTCTCTATACTTCACGCTGGCTACTTGACGGAAGGCGAAAAGCGTTATTATAAGTCTGTAGGTCGGTGAATCATCCTGTTTCATCTTCTCTGAACATGCTTGGGCTGATTCGTTCTTTTACGTATCTTATTTTACTCCAGATTGCAGTAACTTTGAGAACGTCGAGATACAATTCAAATCCAACAAAAGCGAAAGTCCATAGTAGTGAAAGGACTATGGAATCGTTCTCGGAAAGAAAGTCTGTTCTCAACAAAATACTAAGGAAAATGCGAATCTATGAAATAGATGAAGCCTAGAAAGTAGACCGAGCATGTGGAGCACCTCAAAAGCCTTGATTCTTGGTGATCTGCAGTCGATACACCGAAGTGTTGCGGGTGACTGGAACTTAGAGTTGTAGTGGACCCGTTCGAAATCACTTTGAGATGGTTCAGTGGATTTTTGAATGATGGGAGAATAGGAGTGAGAGGTTGAGCAGCGAATTTACCATGCACAGTAAATTAGAGTGAGTAAACTGTATCCCCTATCCGTCACCTGAAGTCGCGTCACGTACGTCGCCATGAGCGGATAGAGATCCTCAAGAACTCTAGTTGTAAGTAACAGAGATGTATGGATAGCAGGCATACTGGTCGAAAGTCATAGGAAGTGAAAAAGGTTTTGATTTTTTGCTATTAAAGAGTATCACTTGAAATTATCAACCTTTATGCTTTTATAGTACGGGATTCTAGGAAGCCACACACCTTCGTTAATTTGTTTGCAAGCTTCTGGGCGAGAGACTGCCAAGGTAAACCATGAACAGCTAACGGATCATAAGCATACTACTACTGTGTCTGTGAGCGTCAATGAGAGATAAGACGGAGTCACTGCTTATGAAATAAAAAAAAATCATGAAGGGTAATATGAGAATGAGTGTCGTGAAAACCGTAACATTTTACGTCCGTTGAAAAAGTCCACACTGCGCTCGTTTCGTCTCCAATTGGTGCTTATTCCCAGCCGTCACCTAGCAGATGCAGAACGTGAGGATGACTATTTGAACCTAGGCCATGCCTACACTTCTGCTTCCAGTATTGTATTAATGAATGGTGTTGATTCTCTCGTTCGGTTCTCCACCATTTCATATGAAACCACGTAACATTCCGTCTTTCGTCATCGTCAGTGATGTATTCTGAAATGGTACTCTAACTTTCTTATTTATAGAGCAGTAATTTGGTGTGACAATTTGTCGGTATGTCAGTATGTCGGTTTGTCTGACTGTGCATCCGTGAAACTTATGATTACGATTAAAGGCACAGTTCACCATGATTTTGGGTAGTCCAGATTATGATGAAAAATGGACGAC